CCAATTCATAAATATCCCACATTTTCTCAAGGAACAGTATCTCCCGTTCAAACAATGCAAAATTACAGAATCATAGGGAAGCAGGAAACCCCTTAAGGACGCAAGTACTATTTACATATACAGATGCACGTATAGAAGTTGATTAGAAGAAGCTTACTGAAATTGGGAATTGAGCGATTCAATCTTCAGTTACCTAATTAAAATTCACCGAAGCTACGAAGAAAAATTGGAGAAATTTTGTAAGATTTTCTAGCGTTTGCGAAAGAGATTTACAAAGCCCTAGCTCGACTGGTTCTTAAAAATGGTTTATTTTTCTGCTCTCTGTTTCATTACGCAGAAAACTACATAACAATATCGAGCTTTGGTAGAGTGTAGAATCGAGTCCCCATCAATATTTTTTATGACATTTCAGTCCTTCCTCAAATATTTAAGGATTATGCTAAATGTACGTAATCCTTTACACAATTCTTTACATCCCTCTCACATGGAAGGGGGCCCACACACAATAAAATATTCGTGGGCCTCCCTCCATGTGAGAGTGGTGTAAAGGATTGTGTAAACCATGGAGTGTACATGTAGCACAATCCAATATTTAAATTCGGAAAATTACGACTAAGTAAAGCTCCCAACCTTCTCCTTAGTCCTTATCCTATGAGTTTTATTTTATGCGCATTTCATCCAACCTCTGAACAAAATAGTTGATACATTTTCCGTCGCATTTGTTTTTGTCCAGAAAATCCCATTAAAAAAGAGTCTATTAACTTCAAATAAATAAATAAAAACCACGAAAAGTATAAAAAAAAAGGATAGAAAAAATAAAAAAGAATTTATTCTTCTTCAATGACCAAACCCAACTCAACCCCAAAACCGCGAACACCGTCCTAAGACCGGCAGCACAGCCAACCACTATCAAAAAGTGCTCTACCATCGAGTTCTTCATCTACGACCAATGTTCTCACAATGTGTAATACCCAAAACGTTTCACTTCATACATTTTGGTGTTTAAGATTTAATTTTTATTTAATACATAAGAATATTTTTAAGAGACTCTCTAAGTACAAAAAACTCATTATTTTAGAGAGACAATACGTAAAATGAATTTCAAGATATTCTCTATCTTAACTTTTTAAAATAGAGAGTACGTTTAGCTCTCCAAATTTAGAGAGTCAAATTTACTATTGCATTTATTAAATCACATTTTAATTCTCTATTTCTTAAAATATTCAAATCACATTTAAATTAATTAGTCAATTGACATATAACAAATTATGTTAAATAAAATATGAAGAGAAATCAATAAATATTTCTTGAGAACAGCAAAATGATGAGTCAAAATAAAGAGCATTGTTAAAAATACTCGTCCAAGATTTAGTGAACACAACCCACACGCTGATTTAGCCATCCAATTTTACAACTCAAATTTACAAGAAGTGAAATTTTTCCGTATTTATAAAATAAGTTTTTTTTTTTAATTCTTAATTAAAAACTCAATTGTATCAAAAGTTGAGATGAAAACTTAATATGTATATAAGAATGATCTAATAAGCATCAATAACGACACGTCGTGCTTAGTTGACAATTAAATTAAAATCAAAACTAACTAATTGATTGGTAATCACCAGTTAAATTAAAACAAAAATAAATCAATTAATGACCCACCAATGAAATTTTAAGCATATTTTTGCGACGGGAATGTTGAGCAGCCAAAGAGAAAGTTCGCGCTCATTTTTTTTTAAAGGTACATTTGGAAGAAAATATTATCGATGAATTTTATTATATGCTTTAATAGAGAACTTGGACACCAAAGGTATCAACAGTTAGTGGCTAACCACGGTTAAAATCCGCATGGTTAATGGAGGCACAAATATCAGAGGTTTATGCAAGAAATTTTTTCAAACTTTTCAAAATGAGATTTTTGAGAGTCAAGTATAAAAAAGATTTTATTCTTCTTCAATGAAGATTTATACTATTAAAATGATTGACGAATCTTCTAAATCAAGATCTCTAAAACTTATTTTTAATGTAAGTTTTTATATACTCTATATTGTAGTTGTCAACAATTTAAATGTGAGGGAATTTCACGTAGACATACGTTGGCGTATTTTAGGATCAGACAAATATTACAATTGTCAACTCAATATATTCATCAAAGGTGGACCACAAGTGCAAATTTTGGTCAAGTTAGGGACAAGAATAATAAAGAACCAAATGACATTTCCACTGATGTTATGGCATTCTACATTATCTCATTTGTCTTATGGCGTGGTTGATGAAGCATCTCTCTTTTTTTTAAAAACAAATATTGGAAGCATCAACGAACCACCACAACTAAGAGCAAAGGGATGTGGAAAAAAAAATTAAAAATTGATATTAGACAGCATCAATAGTTGGCTACGACGGCCAACATGTTGAAGACTATTAAATAGACTCTCTGTGTAGAACATTCCATACTAGGCCGTCCACCACTACAAGGTCCGCTACTACATGACCAGGTTGTCTACTACTACGAGGCCATCTACGTCCATGTTGGGTTGTCGACCACTATGAGACCCTCTATATTCATGCTAGGCCATCTACCATTATGAAGATGTGAACCCCTGCGAAACAAACACAACACTTAACCATAAATCATCATTGAGTTGGATGGAAAACGTTAATAGTTATTATGGACACAACCAACCGCTGAATAGGTGGAGGTCCTCCACTCAGAATATGGGGGGCGGTGGGAAATGATACGTGGCAAAATAACCGCCCAATAGTTACGTGGCTCCAATCATCTATAAATACTCCTGAAACGAGACACGTATGTATCTGAAATTTTTTAGCTATCTGAATACACACTCTATCTTTTCTTCCTTAGTTTACATTCTCAAATATCTTACTAATTCTCACACCGGAGGTTCAACAAGAGAGAAAGCCCGAACCTTATTTCGTAGGTAACATTTGTTCATCGGAGTAGTAGAAACACCTTACGCCGCGAATAGGGCACAGATTTTGATTCATTACTATTTCAAAAATAAAAGAGAAAGCAATAAGTAAAGAGAGGGTTTGTCATGGATGTAGATTTCTTGTCCAGTCACGCATAAGAGAAATCGTCCAAAATTACTTATAAGGTATTTCTATTTTATCATATCCTTCGATTGGATTTCTTGTTTCATTATCAATGTTAATGTAATTATTTTTTTGATCCTCTGGATCCAATGACGAAGTTCTTCATTGTTTGGTTTTCGTAACTTTCATGTAAGTTATCGTTTATGAATATTTGCAATAACTTATTGATGACTATGTTGATTTGAATCTCACATTTTTAATTATTAGACTAGTCTTCTAGTTGTTGATTATAAATATTGCAGGGCAAGAAAGAGGTATGAATCAAGTGATGATGTTAAATCTATTTTTTCTTGTTCTATGACGATGTTAGTTGGAATTGTTAGATAACATTTGTCTTCAACAAGACGGACTTAACTTGAAATATAGGAGTCACAACTATTGATATGCATATCAAAATATACTTTGGGTTCAAGCTTCCATAAATGTGTTCGATAAATTATATCGGATTCAAGCTTCCAGGAATATTAAATTATTCTTTCCATGCACTGTTGCTAAGTGTGCATTTGAGCCCCATTTTTTTTATTAAAATAAGTTTTGTAATAGTGATTTTTTGAAAAATATATGGATAAAAAGTAGGAAAAAGTCTTTGGTTTACATAAATAATTATTTTAATAGGAGAACGTGTAGTTGAAAATGAATTTAGGGAAAAATGAATTTTTCGATAATGGTGCTCAATCAATACAAGTAAAAATTTGACTATGACGTATTAGTCGAGTTCAATCCAAGACATAGTACATTGGCCTTTTTTCAAGTAGCTTTGCATGTTCAACTAGTGGATCATTGCCAGTAGCTGAAATTCTTTGAAAGGATTAAAATGAGAGATTCAACCAACAACGTTTGACAGAAAAGGTTAATAGTTTTTTACTACTGCCATTGTCCCTGCATCCACAACTTATGCTAACTGCTCGTGCTCGTATGACGTAAATAAACATTAGCACAATCACATTGTTGTCTACCAAATAAATCTCCATCAATACTTTTTTTATGAGCAGTAGAAGGAAGCATATAGTAAAAAAGAATGAGAAAGTTGTTGACCTCAATTTTCGTAGGGATAACATGGCCACATGTAGATACTCCACGTAAGATACCTTCATGCGCATGGTAGCAAACCATTAGTCACTCGTGACCTTTTTCGGTGGTGGTGGAGGCAGCAACAAGTACTCCGACAGTCAAATTAGTTAATGGTAAAGGATAAAGAAATAACACACTTGAATTTTAAGATAATAGAGCAAAGTGTATGTTTTGATGTATGGAATTGCATTACCTTTGGAATGACACTAAGTGCAGATATATATAGGGAAATATGTGAATTTGGGACCGTTGGATGGAGGGACATGTGGCCGCATCTACTGGCCGAGCCCTAGATATCAATCAGTCAGTCCATAGGTAGCGGGCATTTAATGCTCCCTAATGAGTGGATTTTGTGACTAGATCTTTTTGTGTCAGCTACACAAATCTTACATCAATCAATCGTGTGAATCTTATTTAATCCCTTATTTAACATGGACGAGGCGACGCTATAGTATTCTGGCAGTGTCATTCCACCTCTTATCACTTCGTTGTATACCCTTTAGAGGCATATCACTTTGGCCCTCGGTCACGTGCAGATATACACGTGGACCACTTCACCTCGGCACTTCAATTATACTAGTGATGTGGGGTGTAGATCTTGTTAATTCGCTTAGCGGCAGTCATGTTAGTCTTTAGAGCCTCTTCATAAGAGGCGTAACAAAAACAAGAGCAAGAGAAGATAGAATACAACTGAAGAGTGACGTTACAGATTCGAGGAAAGATAGCAAAACATTATCCAATAAGGATTAATTGTTTTAAATGTGAATAACCTTCCAAAAGAGTGATCAAAATTAATATTGATTTCAAGATCCATGTAAATGGAACATAAAAAGACAGAATTATATCACGCGAATGAGATTATCCTTGTACTAAACAATTGTAAGTTGAACATTTAACTATCAGGAGAGCTAAACTAAAGACAGTAATATAAGTAATAAGAGATTGCCCAACACTTTATTTATCTTGTCACTTGTCAAATTTCTCTCTCAAAAAATAAATTAACTTGATCACCAGAGTCGAATTATAGGGTCTGTTTGAACCATATTATTTTGGAAAAATGTATATTGGAATAGTAGATTGATGAAAAATATGTGGTTGAAAAATAAGGAAAAGTTATTGATGTGATGAAAAATATTATTTTATTGAAAAATTTGTGATTGAAAATGAGTAGAAAAATGAGAATGAAAAAAATAATGTGGCTCAAACAACGACGATAAGTTGAAACCAGGGGCGGATTCAGCACCTGGCCAGCCCCCGCGGCCGCCCGTGCTGGATCTGCCGGGAGCTTCTTCAGGTGAGTCACTGACGCCGTTCGCCGGGAAGAAAGAAATGAAGATGATGAATTTTTAGCTTCTTCAGGTGAGTCACTGACGCCGTCCGCCGGGAAGAAAGAAATGAAGATGATGAATTTTTTTTCCCTTTCTTAACGTTGATGGAGATGAGGGACAGAAGCGCAAGCTAGATGAGGTTGATGGTGGCCCTGAACCAGATGCTGTTGTCAAGAAAGAAAAGGTCTCCTCAGAAGTAGAGGATGAGACTGTGGAAGTGGTGAAGAAAGAGAAGAAAGAGAAAAAGAGAGAAGAATGGCGCTTTGAGAAGAAAGAGAAGAAAGAGAAAAAGAGAGAAGAATGGCGCTTTGAGACCAATTCTTGGTTTCAAACTGTCAATCAAGGAATTACACGTGATTTTCTGATTTCTAATAAAAAGTCTCTTTGTCTGGGTGCACTTCATCTAAATGAGTGAGGTAATATCTTTATTGTTAAAAAAAAAAAAATGAGTGAGGTAATATCTTTAGAGATCAACCACGCATTTATTTAAAATAATTCTCCTTTAAGCTATTTCATTTAAAAATTCAATCATATTTTTTATACACTAAAGTTTGACAGTTTGCCATGTAGTAAATTGTCATTTACCAAAAAAAAAAAAAATTCAATTTTTTCATCCACAATTTTCTGAAAACAAAAGCAATGTCAAACTTAAAGAGTATACAAATAGCAAAATCCTTAAAAAAAATAAAAATAAAAAATTATAGGTTTGTAGATTTAATAAATAGGTGACAGAGATTTGATTCATAATGTTTTACCCTTATTTTTTTCACGAGGAGCTCCTTTTGTATCTTTAAATATTACTAAAGGAAAAATAAAATGAAATGAAATGAAAAGGCTCCAAAATGATCCAGTCTTGCTTTTATGTTCCATTGAAGGAGAGGGCTGTGACGCTGTTGTGTGGCAGACTATATATCAGCAGCATTAGAGTGTGTTTTTCATACTTTGACTTATAATTTAGCTCCATTACTCACAAACCTTGATTACATTTGTATGGTAGTTTTAGTATGTTTTGCTGAAGTTATTTAATGGTTTTGTATTTTGAGACCTGCAATGTTTTTCTTTATTAAATTGCGAGAAATGTAATTTTGCTTTCATATTATCCTTCCTTTGACCTATTTGCCAAAACATTTTAGCACTTGCATTTAGATTAGCAAGTTCCCAAGAAGTACATGATGAATCGATATCCCAATTTATTGGAAACAAAGATAATTAGTTTGCAAGAGTCATCGGAATACTAATATGTTAATTTAGAGTCAAGTTAATATGTTATTTTTCATTGGTTTATAGGCTGACTACATTGGTTTTGATATTACCTGTGGCCACTGCAAGTGTTGAAAGTGTATTCTCTGCTGTAAATCTAATCAAGATAATTTTTTTTTTTTTTTACTTCTATTTATAAATTATTTTGAATAAGAAAATATAGAGCTGCATATTAATTTAAAAGTTTGGGACTTTGAGTGCAAAAAATGAAAAGTGTAGGATTTTATGGCACTATTTTGAAAGGTTTGGGACCCCCTTGTGCAATTATTCAATGAAAATAACATAATGGACTATTTTCTTTTTCCTTTTTCGTTTTTTGATAATAAATGGAGTATTTTCACTGTATGCGTTATCCCACGAAAATATAGCAGTCCCAGAAATATCTCTACCCCTCAGCAGATCTGATCCCCAAGAACACAGGTCTTTTCTCTCAATAAAATATATCTATATCTCTCAGTATATATATGAATACCTATGCGTATTCTTATATATTCGATCTCTCTCTTACATTTTATTAATTGTTTTCTATTTGTTCTTTTGATTTTCGCTGATTTTGATTCCAGATCTACATTTTGATTTTGATTGTTATGTTCAAACAGAACTGATAGGGACATTACTCTGTGATTTCCTTTAACTTACTTCAGATCAAAGTGATCTGAGTTTCTACTGTTATTTTAATTTTATTTTAATTTCTGATTCCTAAATGCCACTTATGATCTAATTAATAATAGAAATTATAGATCATTCTTTGTCTAGATTTTAATTAAATTAATTGATTTTATTTGAATTTTTTTAAAAAACACACACTTTAGTATAATTTTGTTTAGTGAAATTACTGTAGGAGAGTAGTGAAAAAATGGAATAACTAATTAAATAATATTCACTTGTGATGTCTGTCATTTGCTTATTATAACTCAATAATCTGATTATTGTTAGTCTGAATTTCGTTTGTGATTAATTGATTTTTATGATGGTTTTGGAAAATGCAGACTTAAGTGTAACTTTGTTTAATGAAATTACTGTAGGATAAAGCAGTAGAAAAGGGTAAAGAAGAAAAAGTTTACTATTTTTATAATTCAACACAGTTAAATAACCAATTGAATGAGATTCACTTGTGATTTCTTTCCCAGTTGCTTATTATAACTCAATACGCACGAACCAATTTTTATTTTATTTTTTGGAGATTCTTGTTCCTGATTACAATGGAAGTAGGTATTTTTTTTTTATTTTCTCTTTATACTGTGTGGATTTTTAACCAAATATAACAATTTGATAATAAATGTTGGGGGTTGAATTTAAGAATTTTAAGAGAGAATGGGTCGTGGAGTTAGTAGCGGCGGAGGACAGAGTTCTCTTGGATACCTTTTTGGAAACGGTGAAGCTCCAGCCCCAACTCCAAAACCTGTTGCAGCGGAAGCTCCTGCTCAGAACCTGGCTCCAGTGGTGAGCAAGGAGGTATCAGAGAAGACTCCTGCCGATGTCAGTAAGCAGATTCCAGCTGGCATTCCAGGAAACCAAAAGAATAACTATCACCGAGCCAATGGCCAGAACACTGGCAACTTCCTCACGGTATGACTATGATTTTAATCATACTATCATGGTTAGCTGCTAGTCATTTGTGTTCTAAATTAAGATGTGTTTTGTGGATGCATTTATTTATGCTTGTACATGATAGTGCCGGTTCAATTGTTAAACTGGGTGAGTACCATGCTAATGAATGGATTGTGTAAACTCTAATCATACTCTACTATTACACCAATAATAATCCCTAAAATATTTACTATATATAGTATTTTAGACGGACAAATTTTGTGTGGAAGAGTTATGAGACCTTGTAATCTTCGTCACCATTATAGTGGAACTATAAAGTGAGAGCAGCTCTCACATTGACAGAGAAGCTTGTGTGTTTGCATTGTGTGCTTTTATTTCTTTTTGTTTCTTATTATTCTCATAAAGGATTAAGGTTTAATCCATAATGAGATGTTTGGTCACTAGTTTTTCACTTATTGGACATGCTATTGTTTCTGTGATTTTCATAGCTGCTGCTTGTGCTTGAATGTTCTTTGATTAAATGGACGTTTTTATTTGCTTTTCGTACCTAGTTCATATTTTACATAATTGCACGTCTTTGAAGGGTTCCTGGGCTACAGTGAACACATCTTGTGGAAAACTGATGGAAAGCTTGTTAAGGATTTCTTAACATCATATTGGTTCGGTTTAAATCAAGATCATTATTCAAATAGATCTTTAGTAAATGAAATTTAAATGAACAGTCTGAATTCATTACATGCAAATTCATAATTTCTATTCCCACTCTGATTTACACATTCATGAAAAGAGAACAAAGGAAGATTGTTTTAACATTTTCGTGTCCATGTGTTGCATCATATTTCCAGTTGTCCTAAACTTTGGCACCACAGGGGTTGATTCCTCTTGTTGCAACATCTACATTTTCCAGATAAATATATTCTGCCAATTGCATGTCTGATTTAGTGTACCAGATTTGTGGAAGTGACGGTATCAGGACTTACAACATGATATGCATGGTTACATAATGTTTTGTGCTTATCATTTATATTACTCGAACTCATTTGTCTACCATTTTGCAATAAACACCGATGTTGTTCCCACGATTTAGCATCTTGCACGTGATTGATCGATTTGATACAACATATAACTTCTCCAATCAGTGATTAGCGAGCCTTCTGTTCTTCGTACATGGTTACATAATGTATTGTGCTTACAATGGTAACCTTTATTTTGACAGGATCGACCTTCTACTAAAGTCCATGCCGCACCTGGTGGAGGATCTTCCCTTGACTACTTGTTTGGTGGAGGCAGCAACTAATGCCTCGTGTCTTTAAAAAGATGGAATTGCTATGTACTATTTGTCTAAGTCCTGTTTCTGTTTGGGGCAGACAATGATTTCATCATTTAGTTTTCGAGTCATTCTGAATTGTAATATAGTCACTTTCTTGTCCAAATCTGGGTATTCAATTTACCGATGTTGAGCTTTGTGATTATAAGTTCCTTTCTTTTCTTGTCGTGCCCACCATTGACACTTAGTTACAGGATAAAAGTTTACAACCACGAGTTTGATTGCCTTGAATTTTGCCCCCAAGAAGTCTTGCATAGGCTTGGAATTTGACGTGGTACTGGAATAAAAATATTGCTTCGTGTAAGATTTGTTAGTTTATAGTTGTATTTTACTTATATGTTAGCTAATGAAACAGAAGCTACCCCCTCTACAGGTCCATAAATCTTCATGGGTTTAGAAATATGATGTGGACATCGTCTCTGCTACAGACTACGGTCAGGCCGGACGAAGGTGGGTGTAAAGTAAAACCCTGAATAATTTTGATTTTTTTTTTTAAGTTTTTTATTATTCTCTATCCCAAGACTAAATACATTTTAGGGAAAAATTCATTTTTCCTACTTTATCTTTACCCTATTTTAAAAATAACAAAACAATTTTCACATTTCAAAAATCAGA